CCTCATTCACTTGTCTTTGGTAGTTACTGCCTACACCTGACAAGGTTGATTGATCTCCACTGGTCACACATCTTACTACAACTCTGAGAATCTCCTCACAAAGCTAGTCACTAATGAACACATTGTACGATGGATGTTTCATCATAGACTTATGAAGATTGTTGTTTCTCACTGAAATCATGTGTCGATCAGTATTAGATCATCGTGAAAAAGAAATTTTAAGTCAATAGGATGACCTTTTCCTCATTCTAGTCTAGGACTCAACAACAGTGCACATCCACAACTCGTATGCTACTTGTACAAGATTCGAATATTTTCCCCTGAATATTATTCATTGACTTGTTTTTTTATATAAATTTACCCTGTATTGTCTAGGGCAATTTTACATTGGTTTTCAGGACAACCAAAGAGACTGACTGCTCACGTTTTACAATTACTACATGAACAGTTCGGCTCAATTCTGTGGTGCAACCAACAAACAGGTGGTACCTGATACCCTGGTGGACCATTCACACCATTTACATATATACACACAATCGTATATGTATATTTCCGATCAATGATCGCGTCGACAATCAATATGCACAGCATGAACAGGCCATTTCGACCCATCCCGCCTACATGACTGTCAAACTCATTATTATCAGCAATGGTGATATGCAGCAATGCAGCACCCCAATCACAATGGCCCTCGGAAATGTCGCAAAACAACCACCAGTAGTATCAATGAAATCGGCCACCCTGCTAACCAATTTTGTATATGGACTGTTAACAATGCTTACCAAAGCAAAGCCAAGCCATCCACAATATTCATCACAGAGAACCTCTGATCTCTCATAGGAGACCTTCAGCTCTATATAGCAGCAGTATAGCATATGGTGTACACATATATATGATGGCGTAGGATAGTATAGAAGAGGCAGCCCAGCTTAATGCAAAAATAGGCCAAAAAAACACTTCTATTACCATTTGTCTCATGTCGGGTAGTGTGATTTTTTCTTCGCGTTTCCAAAAATTTTCATTTTTTCGACAACCATATGAGGAGGAGACCTGAGTTATGGGGTTTGTACTTTTTTTTTTCTCTTTAAATTTTTTAGGTTCAACAATACATTGATGGAATGAATAAAAAGAAGAGTTTAAAAAAATTGATTGCACATTTATTAGCCAGATCGGATTATTATGAAAATTCTAGAAAATTCAATATTTCCATTGTGGAAAAAATACTCAAACAACTTATGCTACACGAATCATCCTCCTCCTCATCGTCATCACCGTCATCACCGTCATCATTGTCTACGTCAAACTCATCAATAATCAATGCTTAATTCATTAGAATTTAGGAATAAAACAAATGTGGTAAACACAGTGAAGGAAAACTGAATGATTTGTCTGTTGAAATGATTAAACTCATCTACTCTACTCTATTGTATTGATCGGGTGGTTTGTCTGTGAGTATTATTCGTACAGAATAATCACACATCAAAAAAACTAGAATTTTTTTTAAAAAAAAATGTAAATAATCATACTTTGAGAATTAGGTAATTTATGATTTTAAAAATAATTTTTTTAAATGTAAAAATATATCTATCTATAGTATGTTTATTTTCAAATATAAAGTTTTAATACATTTTTTATGCGAGCTACTTATAAGTAGTATATGACGTGAGTGTCAACGTAATGTCTGGCAGCAGAAGATGGGGTTGAGATCAAGAAAGGAAGAGTTAGAAGAACACAATGAAATTTGTATGAAACGCATGAATAGTGAAATGTCAGACAATGGATTGATGTTTTGCAACAGGAACAGTCCAGTTCGATATGATGAACTGATATTTTGCAAATGAACGATTTACGATATGGTTTTCTTATCTTACTGAGTAACTCTGTAATTTTCGTTAAATACAATTCGGTTGCCCTCACCTGTGTTCTCCTTCACTACACTGGTACTTGGAAGAGCTTTTTTTTTCATAAACGTTTAGAATTGCAGTTGGTCAATCTTTTTTTCTTTTTTGGGCATTCGCGTTGCCCTTAGGTGGTTGCAAGCATTACCACCAGCAGAAGTAGATAGTGAGTAGCAATCGAACTCATCAGTTGGATACACCTACATCTCAGAGTTGACATTCACCCCAGGCACTCAAATTTAGTAACGTTCGTCTCAAATTCCATGGCGTGATCCAAAATTAGGATTGCAATTGATCAGTCTCTTTTTGGCTGATGTCTATTCTGTACGGATTGCTTCGGTATAGTGACATTAGCTCATAGCTCTAACTAATAATGGCAAGATTCAAATGTAATATGTCAATAATATTGATATATATATATATATATATATATATATATATATATATATATATATATATATATGAGCTGTAATCGTAAACATAATCATAGTGTTGATCAGTCAAAATTTCAGAAAACTCATTTATTTGTAGGCAGAGCTTTGGAGGTTTGTGTTTTTACACGTTTGAAATCATCAATCGATCATTGTTAGAACACCACTAGAATCCTGGAAGCACTGGACGGCCGTTTCGTCCTGATATGGGGCTCATCAGCAGTGGGCATCCAAGACCCCTGCACCCCGCGGGATTCGAACCCGGGACCTTCGGCATTGGGCGCGAACGCTGAACCTCTGGACCACCGCCATCCAGCGGTTTTAATGTCTAACACTGATTGATCTAGGGATTTCGCGCGACCTCACCCATTTGTCTTTGATAGTTACTGCCTTCACCCGACAGGGTTGAACTCCATTTGGTCACGTCTTCACAACATGTGAATAGATATTTTATATAAATGTTACGTAGTGAACTATTGAGGTTAAATATTTAATATTGAATATGTGTTTTAATCGAAATTAAAATTAACAAATTACATTTACTTACGTACTTATGCCTGTTACCCCGAATGTAGCATAGGCCGCCGACCAGTTTTCTCCAATCAACTCTGTCGTTCGGCTTCCTTTTCCAGTTGTTTCCAGTTTTCGTTCATTCTTCTCATGTTTGTCTCCGTTACTCGGTGTAATGTGTTCCGTGGCCTTTCTCTTTTCCTTCCACCTTGAGGGTTCCCAGTGAGGGCTTGTCTTGTGACGCGCAGTTAGGTGCTTTTCGTAGTGTGTGTCCTATCCACTTCCACCTCTTCTTCCTGATTTCCTCCTCCACTGGAATCTGGTTTGTTTTCTCCCACAGTTCGTTGTTGCTGATCGTGTCTGGCAAAAGAATCCTCAGTATTTTGCGTAGACAGCTGTTCATAAATACTTGTATATTCTGGATGATAACTTTCGTAGTTCTCCAAGTTTCCACTCCATACAGTAGAAATGTCTTGACATTTGTATTAAAAATCTTGATTTTGGTGTTGATTGATATTTGTTTGATATTAGTGCGCCTGTAGAACCTTTGGGACTACGCCCGGTCCTAAGCCCGGATAAAGGAGGCGGGTTGGGCCATGAGGTTAGCGATCCCATCCCACCAATAAGAAAAACTAACTTGCCCAAAAACACGCTAACCAGAAAAAAATAAATCATTAATTACATTCACTCTCGACTAATTACAGTTTGATATGTTTGACTTTTTAAATAACTCACCCATTTTTTCATGTCGTTAAAATAATCGGAAGTAAATAATTATAGTTATGAGTTAGTTGTATTTGAAAAAGTTTGAATATTGTATGAAAAACTAACACTGTCTTTTAATGGTACGTATTTTAGTTTTAATAAAAGCATTTATTTACTGATTACAGCGTTTATGTATTCGTTTCTATGAGTACTAATGCTAATGATTTGTTGTTCAAATTGCATTCAACGGATTAGAGGGTAAATGATTACCTTACACACTAAGCCAACTCGATACATATATCTTCGTTGTCATAAGAATAAAGGGTGTATAAGCTGTGCGGTCGCTGTTCAGTTTGGCAAAATCGTTAAGATCCTATATACCAGCCTCTTGTTTAGATGAATAAACGTTATTCGAACTTCGGACAGTTTATTTTAGAAAATGAAGTACTTCAGCGAACGATGTTCCAACGATCATCCTATGCTTTTGATTACGTTAAATTTACTGTATATAAAGGAACGGAGGGTGCTATAAAATAACAAGGATATTCGAACTTCTGAAGTACAGGATCTTCAAGGTGTAAAACTTTTTACCTAATCATTCTTTAACTAATCTGTAAGTAAATGTATTGAAAAAGTATCATCTTGTTCGGGGGACCTTATCATTAGTGCCAGTACAACCCTTCTAGATATTTATATTGATTAAGTATCATTGAGAATTCCAAGCATAGCACAAACCCATGAAGTCATTGACAACTGAAGTGAACCATATTATTCGGCTTAGACTAACTACCTGGTTGGGGTGGTGGTGTCTGGTTCTCTGAGCTGGATGCTTTGGTTGTGGAGCTTTTATTGTTCCTCTGAACAACATCATCAGCACAAACTTCAGTGAACCAAACACCACCACTACAATCATCCACCTGAGCTACAAATCTTCACCATACCTGGTTGGGGTCCGCTCCAAACTCGTAACAGATGCTTAAAGATTTTGAATGACATGGCTCAAAATCATTTGCAACAGCACAGACTCCTCCATTCTTTATCTTCCTTCAAGCCCTCGTCTTCTGAATTCCTCAGGACCTTTATCTCTCTCTAAAACCATTTCTCGAATCATATCTTCCATTCTTAATCTCTTCGAATACCTCTAATACTGCAAAAGGGTTTGAATTGACGATTTCAATGTGTTATAGCAGCTTGAACTATTAATATAACTCTCCATTGGTTCACTTAAATCACGTTTATTTAGTCCTGTAGTGAGTGACTGAACGATAACAGTTATCATCATTCTAGATGACTCATCATCCAATTGGCTATGACTTGATTTGATTTAATTGTAAGTAGTTGTTATCAGTGTTAGTTTTGTACAGTCATCTCAATTAAAATGATGCTTATTTAGCAGTCTGAACCTGTATTACCCATATCCATAGTCTGTACAATATTTCAAGTACATCTTGCTGGATAGTGTTTATCAGAATTTCCTGTCGACTATCTCTAACTATTTAGTAATATTCGATAGCGTGGATAGGAAACACTGTGGAGGCATCTTCGACACTACGGTGTGCCTGAGAAGATAGTTAACATCATACGGAACTCTTATGATGGATTCAAGTGCAAATCGTACATGAAGGACAGCTAACAGACTCTTTCAAGGTGAAGACCGGTGTCAGGCAAGGTTGCTTACTCTCACCCTTTCTCTTTCTCCTGGTCATCGACTAGATTATGAAGACGTCAGCATCTGGAGGGAAGCACGGTATCCAATGGACAGCTAGGATGCAGACGGACGATCTGGACTTCGCAAATGACCTGGCTCTTCTATCGCACACTCAACAACAAATGCAAGAGAAGACGACCAGTGTAGCAGCAGTCTCTGCAGCAGTAGGTCTCAACATACATAAAGGAAAAAGCAAAATTCTCCGATGCAACACAACATGCACCAACCAAATCACTCTTGATGGAGATGTCTTGGAGGACGTTAACACCTTTACACATCCGGGCAGTATCATCGACAATCAAGGTGGATCCGATGCAGATATGAGGGCGCGGGTTGGCAAGGCGAGGGCTGCATTTCTACAGTTGAAAAATATCTGCAACTCCAAACAACTTTCAACAAAAACCAAAATCAGCATTTTCAATACAAATGTCAAGACAGTTCTACTGTATGGAGTGGAAACTTGGAGAACTACGAAAGGCATCATCCAGAAGATACAAGTATTTATGAACAGTTGTCTACGCAAAATACTTCGTATTCGTTGGCCAGACACCATCAGCAACAACCTACTGTGGGAGAGAGCAAACCAGATTCCAATGAAGGAAGAAATCAGGAAGAGGCGGTGCAAGTGGATAGGACACACACACACTATGAAAAGCACCTAACTGCTCGTCACAAGACAAACCCACACATGGAACCCTCAATTTCAAAGGAAAAGAGGAAGACCAAGGATTACATTACGCCGAGTAACGGGGACAAACATGAGAAGACTGAATGAAAACTGGCAATTACTGGAAAAGGAAGCCCAGGACAGAGTTGGTTGGAGAAAACTGGTGTGTGGCTCCATCGGGAGTAACAGGCGTAAGTAAGTAAGTTGAGTAGGTTGAGACAGAATTGATATTCGTATGGGGATATTCAAATTAAAAACCGCAATTTAATATCGATTAATATTAATAAATTCTTTATATATTACTTTTTTCTTTGATTACAAACAAATTGATAATTATTCTACATGTATACTGCTCTCTCTGTGTGTTTGTATGTGTGTGTTTGTGTGGCTGGAATAACAAAGAAGAACAAGGAAGAACTTTATGATCAAAAGACACAAAAAAAACAAGATCAAGTTAAGGTTAAAGTTCAAAAAACTGAACAAAGCTAAAAAGGAATAAAAATTTAACTGCATTTGCTTTCAATTTCTGTCTTGGTCCAATATTAGGGAGGAATGTTAGATTCACATTGAAAATTATCCAATATTACTATTACTACTGATTATTAGTTTTTAAGTAGTCTAAAAAGTTATCACTTAATTTTTGTTTGTTGTTGCTGTGGCTTGTTATACAAAAGTCGATTTCATCAATCCTGTTGTATAAGCTTGTGAATTTTCTGGGATTTTTTTCAAATTATTATTTTGTTTTTGTTGTTGTTGTTGTTGACTTAATAATATTGATGAAAAATGATCATTTTTGTTTAAATGAGTTGGGGATATACCATTTGATAAATGATGATGATTATTAGTAGTATGATGAATATAATGATTACTAGCAGTAGTATTCATTAAAATTTGATTATCTATTATTGATTTTTCATGATTGGCAATCAATAAATGACTTTGTTTATTATTATTATTATTATTATGCAATAACATTGGCAATGATGGTGAGATTGTTGTTGTGATATGATTGGCAAAATCAGAATTTGAATTTTTTGCACCACTACCAGTACTACCAGTACTACCAATTGATTGTTTAAATGGTTTTGTATAGAATGGCGGCGTATTTGTTAAATTGTCTTGTTTAAATTTATTCGGATAATGTATTGTTGGTTGACTGTTGTTATTATCCCAACAATCCAATGATTGGTAATCATCTAAATTGAAAAATATATTTAAATAATGTGAATGATCAATGTGTTCAATAGTTGTTTAAATTGGATAAATTTGATTGATTGAACAGAAATCGAGAGAGTGTTTTGCTATTGATAAATCAATTTCAAATTTATTTATTTACCCATATAATTGTTGAAATGCTCTAATATGGCTACATGTATCCAAAGAATTCCTACTCACTGCCTTCTCATCGCAGGAATATTATTTGAAAAATTAAGAGAACGTAAGCGAATGTTCAGTGGGTACGAAGCATTCATCTAGGGTCGTTAGTTAACTCACATTCTAAATCATTGACGTACATATGCCTCAGGATATTGAAGGAACAAATGACATGTGGACCTGTTGTCGGTCACTATACCATGATAAGGAATCTCCTAACGTCGTTACTCAATCGCCTTTAGCTCAAAGACTTTGTGAGTGGTAGTCCTAGGAAACTACCTGTTTTGGTTTATGTACACAGACAGCATCTTAACTCACACACAAATTGATTGATTTTTATGGTGCATAAATATTTAGGTGTCCCTTTGTACTAATAATTGTATGTTTACACAATAAAATAATAATTTTTATTCTTAAAACGATGTAAGGCACAAACTTCACATAAAGCGAATTTTATGATTATGAAAATAGTTTCCTGTTGTATAACTGGAGTCTTTCACCATGATGGAATAAATTTTTAGAAAAATTAAAAATTGTCTAAAGTTATAAACTAAAATGATAAATCTACTATAGGCAAACTGTTTAATCTAACTGTGGTATTTGTGGTGCTGTGGTGCAAACTACTTATAAGTAGTATATAACGTGAGTGTCAACGTAAAGTCTGGTAGCATAATATGGGGGGAAGATCAAGAAAGGAAGAGTGGGGGGAACACAATGGAATTTGTATGAAACGCATGAATAGTGTGTTGGGGATGTTAGATCCCCAAAATTCGCATGATAATGCCGTATTTTGGTTTTTACGTTTCGCCAGCAGGGGCTGATCAAATGACCTTGAGATTTCAATTCCCACCAGGAAAATCAATGGCTGTGATTGGCTACAGTGTATTTTAGTATGCTATTTTCTTAACTGTCTCAAGGACGTTGTTATGTTGTATAAATAAACGAGAGTTGTATGCTTGATTGTACTGGATTGCTGGGTGCTTGTAGAATATACTTTCTACGCTTACCAAGACTTCTGTTTTACCGTTGGATTCAAGGTAGCCTTCCTGGAAGCTGGTAAAAGTCTCGTTCGCGTTTATCGACTAAGGTAAACTCGTAATAGCCTCAAGCATACTAAGTGCCGAACATATCAGTGGCGACGGGGCTCACAATTCACAATGTCAATTAACCTTGAACAGTTAGAATCTTTACTGGAACGTCAAGGTAAACGATATGAACAGTTCCAGGAACGTATGTTGGAGCTGTTAAGGAAACAAATGAATTTGAACCCACGAGATTGTTCGTTTTCTGAGACTGTTCAGACTTTAAGCCAACACTTTGGAGACAACTCGTCACTATTTAATACTCGTTATCGATGTTTGAAGCTTATTATGAACGAAGATGATGATTTTCTTACGCACGTGGGCATCGTCAACCGTGAATGCGAACGCTTTCGGTTGAAGTCTTTGTCGGAAGACCAGTTCAAAGCCCTCATTCTCATCTGCAGCCTCCAGTCGAGTAAGTTCAGTGACATTAGAACAAGGCTACTAAGTCGGTTGGAGCAAGATCCAAAGCTTACGCTTAATGATATGGCTCATGAGTACCAACGTCTCACTGACCTACAACGAGACTCGACTATAGTTCAGAGTGGTAGTTCAAGCCGATCTGAAATTCATTTGGTACAGCAGCCACCTAATCATTATAAGTCTGCCCATGCTACACCCAGTTCACCCCGCTCCAATTCGGCCCAAAAACCCAAAATGAATCCACCTTCTGCTTGCTGGCACTGCGGTTCATGGCACTATGTACGGAACTGCCCATTTAGGCAGCATAGATGCAGGAAGTGTAAAGTCATCGGTCATAAAGATGGCTTTTGCCTACAGAAAAAGCCAAAGCGATCCAGAAGTGCTAAGAAGCCTGTTCCTAGATCCAGTACCAATGCATTGAGCCTAATATCTTCCTGCCAAAGCTCATCACCAGGTGAGAGGAAATTTATTACTCTTAATATTAACGGTTATTTGTGTAGAATGCAAATAGATACTGCATCTGATGTCACTATCCTCTCACGCAAAAATTGGACCAAGTTGGGCAGCCCAAGCCTGCAGCACACAACACAAAAGCCTCGCACAGCGTGTGGTAATTATCTTCGTCTGTTAGGACAATTGGAATGTAAAGTTGCTTTCCGAGATTCGTCGTTTACTGGGGTATGCTATATAACGCCAGCTGATCTAAATTTACTTGGTTTAGATTGGTTCGACCAGCTAAAATTGGCTGATGTCCCGCTAAATACCATATGCAACCTGGTATCACAACGACATGACCCAGAAGCGTATACGAAGAAGCTGATGACAGAGTTTTCAACCATTTTTGAACCTGGATTAGGTCGGTGCACTGCTATGAAAGCAACACTTCGGTTGAAACATGGGGCTAAGCCTGCTTTTCGTCCAAAGAGACCTGTACCGTATGCTACATTAGCAACAGTAGATGAAGAGCTGGATCGCCTTCAACGACAAGGAGTTATTACTCCCGTTTCTTACTCCAGTTGGGCAGCACCTATAGTCGTTATCAAGAAGGCCAACGGCACGATACGTATATGTGCTGACTTCTCTACAGGTCTCAACGCAGCTCTAGAACAGCATCATTATCCTCTGCCAGTTCCAGCAGATCTGTTCACTATGCTGAATGGAGGAAAGTTCTTCGCAAAGCTTGACCTAGCTGATGCTTATTTGCAAGTGGAAGTCGATGAAGCATCTAAAGAGCTGCTTACTATCAACACTCATCGTGGTTTGTTCCAGTATAACCGTCTACCTTTTGGAGTTAAGACTGCCCCATCTATCTTCCAACAACTAATGGATACTATCCTGTCAGATATCTCAGGGGTTGCAGCTTATCTCGATGATATCTTGATTGTTGCGAAGACGTTAGAACAGCTACGGGAACGCACGACATTGGTACTACAACGCATCAGTGACAATGGTTTCCGGTTACGCCCAGAAAAATGCCAGTTTCTATTGCAGTCGGTAAAGTATTTGGGATTCATCTTTGATGCCGACGGTCGCAGACCGGATCCTGAAAACATCCGAGCTATCAAACTGATGCCCACTCCCACTAATGTTTCCGAATTACGATCTTTTCTCGGTTTGATCAGTTATTATTCAGCTTTTGTTCCCTCGATGCATGATATTCGCGCTCCATTGAATTGTCTACTGCAGAAGCATAGCACATGGAACTGGACTAAAGAGTGTGACGCGGCTTTTGGTAAACTCAAGTCTATAATTAGCTCGGAATTGTTATTAACACACTACGATCCATCCATGCCGATCATCGTAGCAGCAGACGCTTCAGCATATGGCCTAGGTGCTGTTATTTCACATCAATTTCCAGACGCGTCGGAAAAAGCCGTTATGCATGCATCCCGTACACTGACCCCAGCAGAAAAGAAGTATAGCCAGATAGAGAAAGAAGCTCTTGCCCTTGTGTTTGCTGTTCGCCGTTTCCATAAGTTTCTGTACGGTCGGAGATTCACGCTCCTCACAGATCACAAGCCTCTGTTAGCAATATTTGGTTCAAAGTCTGGCATTCCAGCCCATTCTGCAAATCGTCTTCAGCGATGGGCCTTGGTACTTTTGGGGTATGATTTCGAAATCCAATATCGACGCACTCTACAATTCGGTCAAGCAGACGCTTTGTCACGACTCATTAATGATCAAGTGGCGGCTGAGGAAAACATGGTGATCGCATCTCTGTCAGTAGAAGACCACGCAGAATGTTATCTGACAACCGCAGTTCGCGCATTACCGGTGTCTGCAACAGACATACAAAATGCTTCTAGAAACGACCCCATCATCAAGATGACGATGAAATATGTCACTAAAGGTTGGCCGTCGAAAAAGTTTGAAGGTGACATGAAGCAACTGTATCAGCGGCGGGAGTCACTATGCATCGTGAACGATTGTCTCATGTTTGGTGAAAGAGTAGTGGTTCCAGCATCCCTTCGTGCAAAAGTGCTGAGACAGTTCCATCTTGGTCATCCTGGGATTAAACGAATGAAGTCCATAGCCAGGAGTTATGCATACTGGCCTCACATGGATCAACATGTCACAGCGTTGGTTGAAAAATGCATGCGGTGTCAGCAGGCGGCAAAGATGAATGCCAAAATTCCGCCGGTTTCATGGCCCAAACCTGAGCATCCTTGGTCCAGGATACATGTCGACTTCGCTGGCCCAATAAATGGAACTATGTATTTAATTGTCGTCGACGCCTTTTCTAAATGGCCGGAAATCAGCCCCGTTATGCCGCCCACTACAACTAAGACTATACAGCTCCTAACTGAAATTTTCTCACGAAATGGCATACCAGATGTGATCGTATCCGACAATGGCTCTCAATTCACCTCTTCCCAATTCCAGAATTTCTGTCAACGGCTAGCCATTAAACACTTACGCTCGCCACCATACCACCCGCAATCGAATGGGCAGGCGGAAAGGTTTGTGGATACGTTTAAAAGAGCACTGCTCAAGTCAAAAGGGGAGGGGACGCCAGCCGAAACGTTACAAAATTTCTTGTACGTCTATCGGACAACACCAAATGAATTGTTACCGGAGCAAAAGTCCCCAGCTGAAATCCTGATGGGAAGAAGATTGAAAACGATCCACAGCCTGATGCATCCGACTAATGCACCCTCATCAGTAAAGACAAAGCAGCAAAGACAATCCGCTTACGAAGTAGGATGCCCTGTGTTTGCCCGCGACTACAGAACGAACCATGGTCCTTGGGTAGAAGCGAGAGTGGTCAGAAGGGTTGGTCGAGTTATGTACGAAGTAGAGGTAGGAGGTGATAAATGGTCACGTCATCGCAATCAGATACGCAGACGGCTAGCCCCAGATCGCCCATCAAGAGCAGAAAGCCTTCCCCTTGACATCTTGCTTGATACCTTCAACCTACCGAGAGCCCCGCCACGAGAAGAAACTCAGCAGCCAGCTGTTCTTCGTTCCCGAAGGTATCCCCTCAGACAGCGGCGAACAATAGTCAAGATGCAAGTCGACCCCAGGAGAACAAGCTATTAAAAAGGGGAGGAGTGTTGGGGATGTTAGATCCCCAAAATTCGCATGATAATGCCGTATTTTGGTTTTTACGTTTCGCCAGCAGGGGCTGATCAAATGACCTTGAGATTTCAATTCCCACCAGGAAAATCAATGGCTGTGATTGGCTACAGTGTATTTTAGTATGCTATTTTCTTAACTGTCTCAAGGACGTTGTTATGTTGTATAAATAAACGAGAGTTGTATGCTTGATTGTACTGGGATTGCTGGGTGCTTGTAGAATATACTTCTACGCCTACAAAGTCTTCTATTTCGATTCTGGGATTCAGGGTAGCCTTCCTGGAAGCTGGTAAAAGTCTCGTTCGCGTTTATCGACTAAGGTAAACTCGTAATAGCCTCAAGCATACTAAGTGACGAACATATCATAGTGACAATGGATTGTTTGGCAACAGGAACAGTCCAGTTCGATATGATGATGAACTGATATTTTGCAAATGAACGATTTACGATATGGTTTTCCGATTTTACTGAGTAACTCTGTTGTAATTTTCGTTAAATACAATTCGGTTGCCCCACCTGTGTTCTCATTCACTACAGTATTAAGCACTATTGTGATTGAAAATTGTATGACTTTGGATGATTTTAACTGTTTAAATAGAAACTTGCTTAATTAATAAGCGAATAACGACATTCATCAGTAAAAGTGGATGGTTACTAGCAGTGAAGTCCAGGACGCATTGTTTAGACCTATTTAGGACTCGTCAACTAGATGTACTTGACATATCCCAGAGTTGATATTCGCTCTGGGACTCGAACCCAATACCATTCGCTTCAAACGTTATCAAGTTTAGTATCACGGCAATCCGTACATGATGCACATATGCCAAAAGGAGACTGATCACTTACAGTCCTAAACATCAGTACTGTACTACTTTTTAGATCAATGTACACAAATAACTGCGGACATATATCAGACTGGAAATATTTCAAGATTGTTGATTAGGAATATTCAAAGAATACCGCAGAATTCATAGAAGTACAGCATTCAGGTTACTGTGCAATCAATAGATTTATTGACAAAATATCCATTTTATTTGTCTATTTGGCAAAGGTTACGCAATCACTTGGTCATAGGTAAAGTGAATCAAACGACGCATATAGATGATGGAAACCATGAAGATAGCCACTCTGAGACATGATGATTAGAACAGGCTGACATCATACTTATGAAGTAATTAAAATGTTCACTTCTGTTTCAGCTAAGCAATGATGTGATTGTTCAGAACGAGAACGAAATATCGGCTTTTAAACTATCTAATTCATAGAGCTTAATAATATCAGACGGAAATTAGTGACCGCCTCTACAACTTGACAGATAGAAAATTTGGTTAGCATTAAGAACTATGGAAATGTATTTACGCAGTAATCTCACAGTAATAAATCTTATACATAATGCGCATCCTAGAATCCTGCTCGTTGAAATATTCGAATCCAGGACCTTTGGTCTAGTGCGCAAACGGCCATCCAGTGCTTCCAGGTGTGTTTAATGGTGGTCTAACACTGATTCATTCATGAGTTCAGTAGGTTAAGACAACCAACAATCTCAACACAATAATTCAACATTAGTTATTTTGTCAAAGTGACCGAATAGTTCTTGCTTTTTATAAATACTTTTGTTATGCTTGTCAGATTGATATGCTTGAATGCTATTACGAGTTCACCTTAGTCGATAAATGAGAATGAGACAATGACACAGTGACACGATAGGCTACTCTAATCAGTTGCCTCAACTAACTGAAGCAGAAGTCTTGACAAGATGTAGAAAGTGTTTTCTACAAGCACCCAGAAAATACAATAAATGATCTCAAGCACACAAATCGCGTTTATTTATACATCATAGAAACGTCTTTGAGAGAGTCACAAAAATAGCACACTAAAATAACACAGTAACCAATCACAGCCAAGGATTTCCCCGGTGGGAACTACGATCTCAAGGACAACTGATCAGCTCATGAATAAAATCTAAAATTAAGACTTGTATCAAGCAAGAAAGTCATCACATCTCGACTGATCGAAAGAATGCCAGTAGAACATAAACAAACTTACTTGGTACTGTAGGTATATTATTAGTAGTATTGATAAATATTGGACTATAAGGACTATACTGTCTAGATGAATGTGTATTCGGTTGATAAATACGCGAATGATTCATTAAATCTACAGGATAATTTAATCTTGATTGATTCATTATTGGTTGTTGTGATGCAGAAGCGGATGTTGATGGGACTGGCAACGGTTGTGAGCGGTTAATCGATATGCCACAGCTGATTGATTGTGATGTTGGTGTCGGTGTCGGTGTTGTTGTTGTTGATATTTTATTGACATTTGCTTGGTCCGTGTTAACTGGTCGATTATTTTTATGTAATCGTCCAGTGAGAAGATTTAATATAGTTGACTTTTTAACTGTTGTATTTTGATGATGATGATGATCACTAGTATACCAGTTGCATAACTAGAAAAAACAGATAAATAAAAGGAAAAAATTATAATTTAAATGTTTCAATTTATAAAACTATTTACAATTTAACATATTATTAATTACACTGGGTTCGAATCCTGCGGGGTGCAGGAGTCGTAGTCGTGGATGCGCACTGCTGAGGAGTCCCAAACTAGGACGAAACGGCCGTGTTTCAGTTCTTCCAGGTTTCTAATGGTGTGGTCTAACATTGATCGATTCATGGTTTCAAAAAATGTGTAACTTAACAATCTTCACAACCCCGTAATGCATATTATTAATTGGTTAAGTGCTAAAGTCTGTCAAATGAATCTGGTTTTCTAGCTGCTTCTACCACTAACCGAAGACTAAATCTATATGACAAGTTGAATACGCACGATATCCGAAAACAACTCTTTACCCTCCAGGGCTAGTTCATTTAACGAGTTACATACGCACGACCTTGAACTTCTGAATGTTGTAGCAGTATAGCCAAATATCCAATCAGAATTATGGCACGTGATTTTTCCAGATGTTCATGTAAGTCAGTCAGTGAGTCAGTTACAACGTAGAACCTCGTACGTAAGTATATCAGTTTAGGTTGCCATACTGCATTAACACAGAGATATAATTGTCAATTCAAATCTAATAGTAGTAGAGGTAGTAAAGGTATAAGAAGTAATCGGAGAGGTTAGGATAAGAAGATATTATTCAAGAAGTATGATTCAGTGAGATAAGTTTAGAAAGTCAAAACTAGAAGTGTTGAAGAATCCAGAAGATTAGGATTTGAGAGAACGCAAAGAATAAATGCACCGGCGCCATTGCAAAGGATTTTGAGCCATGTCATTCAGGGTATATAACCATCGACTATTATCATCTCGTGGACCCCAACCAGGTAGTCGACAACTACCGACATGGCTCAGTCCACCAGTCAATGACTTCATGGATTTCTGCCATGTTTTGGTTTGGCCGCCCCTAACTTTCTTCCAACCTATTCCTACACTACAAAACATAGCTCGTCGCGGAAGTCGGTGGTTAGTAGAAGGATTAGCTGTAATGGGGAATATTTGGGATCGAAGATATGATTCGAGAAGTATAATTCAGTGAAATAACTTTAGAAAGACTTCACCTTCAGACGTTAAGTAGCTGTTTTTAGTCTCATTGTTTCCCAATCTATCTGCCTGGCATAGTAGAACCTACAGGAACTTATGTTCCAGCCAATATAGCTCGGTTGGGTCATCGCGTTAGGCAAGCCAGGTCAAGTTAACAGCTACGGTCGGGAAATGTTCATGTGGTTGTTCTATTCAATGCTGTTTGAATAAAATGTTTCTCAACGCTTCTCAATTTCTATAGAATTTTTCTAAGGGATATTTCTAGATTCTTAACAGAATGATACAGTAAAATATGAAGGCTATGAGTAAATTTATTTGTATTGAGAGATAAACTAAGATTTATTCGCTAATATTAAGTTAGTATTAAAAAGATACAGATAATTGAAGATTGTTCAGTTTCATTGAAATCATGAACGAATCACTGTTAGAACACCACTAAAAACCTGTAAGCATTTAAAGAAGGCCGTTTCTTCCTGTTACGTGACTCATCAATAGTAAGCATCCATGACTTTCGCTATTCGCAGGATTCATACACAGGACCCGCGATCTCGCTCACGAACACTTAACCTACAGACCAATGGACAGGTATCCATCTAACTTCAATCATTCCAAGGTCTTACACAACCTCATCGACTGTCTTCTATGAGCACTGCTTCACAACTGAACAGAATTGAACTCCATTGGTTTGATTATGCAACGATAATTATTATTTGCATGATATCAAAGTTTTTGGTAGATTTCATTGATCAAAATGAAATGTGTTTATTCAGATTAAATGAAAGATTTTTTGACTATTTGGGCATTAATAAAAATTAGATATTAGGATTGAAGATATATCATAAAAAGGAAATAAAAATGAGAAATAATTCATGATAGATGTGTTCATTTGTTGAAGGATCAGTTGTAATGATTTATTATATTAATACACTATTTTGTTTAAATGAGTGAATCAAATTTCACTTTCCCTCTCTATAAATGCTGTCATATGGTAAAACGTTTGTTTGTAACCACTATCAAGGAAGTTCTACTCACTGTTCTTTACGAAACTGAGAGGTAGATAAAGACAATTCGTCTAAAGCGAGTTGGAAAAATCCTGATCCCAAACAAACGGTACGTATTGATTACCTGATCGTGAAGGAACAAATAGTATATGAACTTATGGTAAGCCTTTATCTACCATTGGATTGTTTGCATCTCTTTACATTGCTCCACTGTCTGGTCGATTCAATCTGCAGACGAAAGGCTCGAGGTGTGACTACCTAAGAAAACCATCTTCTTCGCTTTGGTCGTTAATCGGACAATATCTAAGCCAGATCATAGACAAGTTCAATGAATTGTGTATGGTATAACTACTTAGATTCCCCTTTCTACGAATAGTTATGTGTTCAAATAAATAAAACGCAGGAGGTTATATAATGTTTAATTCACACATTATACTCAGTAATCGAAATTAAATTACGTTATATATATATATATATATATATATATATATATGTGCACTGCTGGCGAGTCCCAAACTAGGACGAAACGGCCATGTTACAGTTCTTCCAGGTTTCTAATGGTGGTCTAACCTTGATCAATTCATCATTTCAAATGTGTAACTTAACAATCTTCACAACCCTATAATGCAATAAAATGTGCTCAGTAGTAACTAGCTCCGTGAGGAATCTTATCGAAGTTCTAGTGGGAAGTCGTGACCAATGAAGTTCAACCTGTTCGGGTGTAGACAGTAACTACAGAAGACTGTGTATGAGGTAGCGCGATTCCGTGAAATGATCGGAGTTAGTTATTAACACCGTTAGATACCAGCTCAGTGGTCCAGAGGCTAGGCGTTCGCGCGCAAGACAGAAGGTCTCTAGTTCGAATCCCAAGAGGTGCAAGATTCACGGATGCGCACTGCCACTGATGAGTCCCACAGCAGGAGGAAACGGCCGTCTTTCAGAGCTTCCAGGTTTCTAATGGTGGTCTAATAGTGATCGATTGATGATTTCAAAAATATGCAACTTAACAATCTTCATAACCCTGTAATGCATATACACACACCATTTTGACATCTACTAATACAACTAATAGTAGTAATAATAATAAACTCGTAAAACATGGGGAAGAATGTTATCTTTTTTTAAATAAACTAATAATGTTTAATCTGTGTTACTGAAGTGGATGGATGGATGGATATAAATGAATTTAGCAGGCCAACTATCAGTATACTTACCTGACTATCTACCTACCTACCTACCTACCTGCCTACATACCTACTACTGAACAATCTCTATTATAGTAGTTTAGTCAAATCTAATGCATTATAAGGTCATGTAAATAATAGAATTTTATGAAAAATAATAATAGTTCAAAACATTTTAAAAGAAAATCTTGTTTGAATAGAAGAATATTGACATTTTATTTATTTTCTTACACAGAAAAATATCATGTTTTTTTGTGAAATAAAAACCAACAAATTCCATAATTTTTGACATAAATAGTAATCAAGGATAGATAGATATCATCTTAAATTAGGCATGAACACCGACTGCCTTGACGAGCTTTGTTTTTTAGTGTAGGAGGGAGTAGGTTGGAAGAAAGTTAGGGGCGGCCAAACCAAAACATGACAGAAATCCATGAAGTCATTGACGAGTAGTGGACTTAGCCATGTCGGTAATTGTCGACTACCTGGTTAGGGTCCGCGAGATGATAATAATCGATGGTTAGAGACCTTGAATGACATGGTTCAAAATCGTTCGCAATGGCGCCGGTGCATTTATTCTTTGTGTTCTTTCAAATACCAATCTTCTGGATTCTTTGAACACCTCTAGTTTTGACTTTCTAAATTTATCTCACTGAATCATACTTCTTGAATAATATCTTCTAATCCTAACCTCTCCGATAACTTCTAATACTTTTACTACCTCTTCTACTATTGGATTTGAATTGACAGTTACATCTCTGTGCTGATGTGGTATGGCAACATGAACTGATGTGCTCGCGTACGAAGTTCTACGTTGCATCTGACTGACTGACTCACCAATCTCTACAATCCTATAATAACAATTATGTTCTGAAAATTATCTAACTATGAAAATATAAAGAACTGACTGATATGATTTAGTGACATTTCTGGAATACATTGTAATTTGACACTGTCACATGAATTACAACAGACCAAATAATTTTCAACATCTGATTGGACAATATGCGATTTGTAATTTTCGACTATCAAATGAAGAAAATCAAAATTAAATTTCGCGCCTCAATTTTTTTAATATTTGAATAATAAATAGTCATTCAATAAACATTTAAATCAGTCAACCGAACATTGAAATTAATCAGCCTAGTGTTTAATAAAATACTTTTTCTCAAGAGTACAATTAATGCACTATTCAAATGAATACATTCTTAGACTACTAATGGAATCATAGAAACACTGGGCGGTCGTTTAAAGATACTACTATGGAACTCCTTGATAGTATGCATCCACAAAACCCTCTCGCAGGATTCGAACCAAGGATGTTCAGTCTTGTAAGCGAACGCTTAAACTCCTCTAGACCACTGGGTCGACATCCTACGGTGTAAATGTCTAACTCTGACTAATTTAAAGATTTAACACAACCTCATCCAGTTTACTTCAGTAGTTGCTCCTTTACTCGACAGTGTTGAACTCCAAACTGATCACATCTTCTCACTAGCACTCCGAGAATTTCCTGACGAAGCTAGTCACAAGTGAGCACATCATAAGATTTTTCATTTTTGAGTTATGGAGATCATTGCTTTTTACCCACTGAAATCATAAACGAATCAACCGTTGGATGCCGAGGGTTCCGAGTGAAGGCTTGTCTTGTGACGCGCAGTTAGGTGCTTTTCGCAGTATGTGTCCCATCCACTTCCATCACTTCTTCCTGATTTCCTCCT